CACTTACGTTGTTTTCATACTTTGGCTATTGTGAATATGCTGCAGTGAACGTAGGAGTTCAGATATAGCTTCAGGATGATGTTTTTGTTTTATTTGGATATATACACAGAAGTGGGATTGCTGGACCATATGCTAGCTCCATTTTTTAATTTCTTAGGGAACAGCAATACTCTTTTCCATTGTGGCTGAACTAATTTACATTTCTACCAACATTGTTCAAGAGTTCCTACGTGAGAGAATTTGAACATCAAAGAGGGGGGATCAAAATACATATATGTTAAAATATATGGGTTCACAATGAGAACCACTCCCATCCATAAAGCCTTTTTGGTCATATTTAGAGAACATTAGAGAACCATCTCATTACTGTATGCAGAAAACTCATGAATGAGGGGAAAGGCAGAAATATATATCTTACTTTTCCTTTAAAACTGTACCTCAGGGTAGCGAAATACTTAATGAAGAATGCTATTCTTTATTGGAGAATTTCAGCTAATGAATGTAGAGGGAATAACAGAATTAAACTATCATTGGCAGCTTGTAATAAAACAATGGTTCTAGGCAATTATCACCAATGATTGCTAATATCAGAGTGAAGGCTAATGGAGAACTTAGAATGGACAATGTGACTTACAAAATCTGACCTCACTGATCAATCTTAATACCATAAAAGAGATTCAACCAGATGTTGTAATTCAGCAGGAATAAACAGTATCACATGTGAAGCATTCTTACCTGAATGGGATCAAGCTTCTAGACCAAACAACTAGTATAGAGAAGATACAGATGATAAAGGAACATATTAAATGATAACACATGATTGCCATCAGAAAAATCTGGGTTCTGGGTAATTCTATATAATAAATGACCTCATTTCTTTAATAAATCAATGGTAAGAAAAAGAAAAGAAGGAAAGTTATATATTAAAAAAGTGATGGGAAACAAAAAATCAAAGGTAATATTATTTAGATTCTGATTCTAACAGACCAATTAAAAATATTTTATAGACAGCTGAAAAATGTGAACACTGATTAGATTATTTGATTATATTAAGGAATTACTGTACATTTTCTTTTTAGCTATAACAACAATTTTATAGCTATGTTGTATAAACTCTCCTTATCTTTTATGAATATAATCCCAAAACATGTTACATGTAGAATTGTATACTGTCTAGGATTTGTTTTTAGCAATCCAGTATGGAGTGGGAGGAAAGTAGTAGAAATATAGAAAAAATACAACAGATTGTGAGTTGATAATTATCAAAATTTTATATGCATTTGAAAGTTTCTGTAACAAAAGAATTTTAATGTAAATACAAAAAATATCCATCTAGTATTGGTATAATCAAAATGTTTTATTAAAATACTTTAGGAACAGGATAAAGAAGAAAAGTAAGTGTGTTGTTAAATGCTAACTCTTGGGGTGCCTGCCTGACTTGGTTGGTAGAGCATGAGCCTCTTGATCTCGAGGTTGTGAGTTCAAGTCCCATGTTGGGTATAGAGATTACTTAAAAATAAATAAATAAAAATAAATGCTAACTCTTTATCTTCCAGACTAGGATATGTGCTGTCAGCACAGAGCCTGACACAGGGCTCGATCTCATGAACCACAAGATTATGACCTGAGCCCAAACCAAGAGTCAGACCCTTAACCAACTGAGCCACCCAGGTGCCCTAAGAAGAGATTATTTTTAAATATGGAGAAAACAGTAAAACAGCTAAAATTGATTACCTATGGAAAGCAAAATTCAGAGGTAGGCTGAATTTTTTTACTATTATACTTGTGATAGTATTTGATTTTTAAAAATTGTAAACACACACAAAATTGATAAAAATAGAAATTATTTTCTAAGAGATTTATAAAATACCTTTTCCTTTTATAAGTTTGAGGAGAAACCCATTAAATTGTATAATTAATTATATCCTAACCTGGCTCTCATTTTTTTTAATGTTTTATTTATTTCTAGGAGAGAGAGAGAGAGACAGAGACGGCGTGAGCAGGGGAGGGTCAGAGAGAGAGGGAGTCACAGACTGAAACAGGCTCCAGGCTCTGAGCTGGCAGTCAGCACAGAGCCCGACGCGGGGCTCGAACCCACGAACCGCGAGATCATGACCTAAGCGAAAGTCGGACGCTTAACTGACTAAGCCACCCAGGCGCCCCATCCTGGCTCTCATTTTTAAGCTCTGTTCCCATTCACTTGTTCTCCGTACTTAATCCATTGCCAAATTATGTAATGATCCCAAACTTGATTTGAACTCATTTACTTTTCTACTGCTCTGCCATCACCCTATGTGCAGCATCACTGTCTCACATCTAGACACGTGCCATAGTCTTCCAACAGATTTCCTGCTTTTACTCTTGCTCCCCTCTGATCCAGTCCACCCACAGTATTCAGCCTGATATTTTCTTTCTTATTTCTTATTTATTATTTTTTTTAATTTCAGTGTAGTTGACATGCAATGTTACATTTGTTTCAGGTGTACAACATCAGAAATGATGTTTAAAAGATGCAAACATGAACATGGCATACTCCTGCTAACACCTCTTCTGAGCTTCTAGAGTAAATCCAAGTTTTCTAGCACAGCCTCTGAGCCCTGCACCCTCAGTCTCCTGCTTATGTGTCCAGCATCATCTCCAGCACCACGTTCTCCTTCAGTCACCTGAATTTGCACATGCTGTTTCTCAGGTCTTAAACAGCATTACTCTTTCCTTGGTCATCTCTGATGGTTTAGGATTCAACTTAAATATCATCACTTATCGTTTTCTTTCTCTCACCACCAAATTAGTTTTCTCCACAGCACTTCACACTTGTAATTGCATATTTACTTGTTCACTTATTTTGATTTTGTTTCCTCCACTGGCTCTAAGCTCCCATGACAGCAGGGACTTGGCTTTGTTCACTGTTGTATCTCTAGTCCCTAGAACACCCCCATCATAGAATATGGAATGTGCAATAGACCAGATTTTCTCAAACTTTAGTGTGCATTCAGTCACCCAGGAAAGATCTTTTAAAATTAAAAAAAATTTTTCAATATTTATTTTTTAGAGACAGAACATGGGCAGGAGTTGGGGCAGAGAGAGAGATACACACAGAATCTGAAGCAGGCTCCAGGCTCTGAGCTGTCAGCACAGAGACCAATGCACGGCTTAAATTCATGAACCATAAGATCATGACCTGAGCCAAATTTGGACTCTTAACAGATTGAGCCATCCAGGTGCCCTAGGAAAATCTTTCCTTAGATGCACATTCTGATTCAGTAGCTCTGGGGTGGGGCCTGAAATTCTAACAAGCTTCCAGATAGGGCCAAAACTGCCAGGGCATTATTTACACTTTGACTAGCAAAGCTAAAGTGGGTAAAAAGATGAGTGACAGGAATGTTTGTCACTGTCATGTAGGAAGACAGTTATTATCTGGTAATGGAGTTGCCTCACAAAGACAATCTACCACCTGCACTTTCAGTGGTGTAGGAAGCATGAAAGGCCTAAAGCTCTTTGAGACTGGCATAGATGTTGACCTTACCAAACATTATACAAAATGGCCTAAGGCCGTGTTTGACTATAACTGAATCATTTAAAGTGTTATAATAAGATACAACATTTACAGGAAGCAATTAGCAATTCAGTATATGAGAACAGAGATCCTTTATAACAACAACAAAAAATAATATCATGGAACAAGGAGATGAGAATTTGAATTTGAATTTGCTAAAATTTAAAGAATGCTAAAATTTAAAGAAGTATATGAATCCAGTGAACTTAATTTTTTTACTTGGAGAACTTCCATCTTGTTTTAGATTGCATAGATATGCATGTTTTCACTAGCAGTTGGAATTTGTTTTACTTGCTACACCCACTATTGTCATAATTTAGAACTTTAACTTAAATATAACTTAGAAACACAAGAAAAGAACAATTTGGAGGAAATGAAAAACAGCAATTTAAATCTATTCTTTCAAAGTAATCGTGATGTTTCTATGTAATAATAGAAAAAGCCAGCCAAAAAGTTCTTAATCACACAGATATGTGTCTCTATTTAAATGCTGAAAAATGAATTTGGGGATTGAAAATTATTGTTTTGCTGCCTTTAATCTTCCATCCCCATTTCATTATAAGTAACTTTTGATTTCTCTCTCTATCAAGTGTCCTTTTTTTCCACCCTGTCCTAATCGTAAACAATTAGTAGATTAAAATTTACTACTGAATGTTCATGGAATTAAACCATTGGGATCATTGGGCTTTAGCTTACTCATTAGATTTCTCAATGTCCCTGGCTTCACCCTTTGCGTATAAACACATTTGTTATTCTTAATCACTTCTAACTATCAATCCTTTACTAGAGCATATTACTTAATCTTTGAAAATCCACTCTTGTATTTCACAAAAATGGAAAATTCAAACTTCTGCTGTGTGTGACACACCATTAACTGCACAAAGACACTCTGTATCTGCTACATTAATATTTACTGATGTGTTAATGTAATGATGACCCATCTGCTTCTGCTGTCTATGAGGCACTTTCTATAGGGATGGAAATTAATGACAGTCTCTCTGAGCTGCCTGATGTCAGAGCTGAGAAAGGTGTGAAGGGTATATAAGAGCTGTATTACTCACTGGCAAGTGTGGGGGCAAATAGTCCAGTGGATGCAAGCTTGGGATTGTTCATGAAGCTTTCTTGCCATTAGAGGCATTGTCTGATATTGCTGACACTGAAATACTAAAAGGTAAAGCGCTTCTTGCTTATGGGAAAATATTTATGTAGGGAAGAGCAGATTTGGGATTAAATATATGGCTTATTTCAAAGAAAGGCTACAGAGATCTGCTATAACAGAAACTTTCCAGATTGCTTAGAGGAGGAAATTGGAAACGTTAAAATTTTGAAAATATTTGAAAAATATTTAAACAGTATCAAGGGGCTCTATCAATAAAATTGCTGTATTTGGAGATTATGTTTAAAAAGAGTTTTTTTCTTGATTTCAATGCTGAATTATTCTTTTCAGAAAATTTGAGAAGCAATGTGCCTCCTGAAGCTTCCAGTAGTTGTCATTGTGCTCATTGTGCTCTTAAGCCATCTGAAAGCTACCCCCATTGAAAGGTTAGTAACTTAAAAATTCTGTTTCCTTTGTAAAATGTGGGGAAATTAGAATTAAAAACTGCTATATAACTAACAGCCCTTATGCCATTAGATTTCTGATGAAATCATGCTTAAGAACAGTACATTAAGCCGTTTATCTGTTCCTTGAATTCTGTGTTCTTTAAAGAATAATGCCAGTGGTTGATGAGTCTATTTGACAGAACTTCTGACAGAATGGAATGGATAGTTCCATTTGTCAAGAAATATGCTGTTGGAACCTAGAGTGGCAAAACTAGAACATGAAGCAGGAAAAGCCAAAGGGTAGTAATTTCCACTATATTAACCTGATTCTCAAACAAACTATAGAAACTTAATTAAAGCATATATTTTATAACAGGTGGAATTTTATTGTCTATTTACATAGATTTCTTTTTCTCCTTGGAGGGCTCTGGCAGTATCCAGAACTTTTACATCTCTTTCTGGAAATAGAAATACATAGAAATAATCAGGGGGCAAATTAAAAATTTTAGGAAATAGTTAAAAAGCCATTTGCTTGTAGGGTTTTTTTTTTATATTGTTAACTGTTCTGTTAATGAAATAAAATTATAAAAAACATATTTTTCATAAGATGACTTCTGAGCTGCTCTAAATGTGAATTAATACTTCTTAAAAATGAATTCAATAGGTAGCATGTGCATCAGAGTTTCCTAAGAAGGTTTATTTGAAAAGGTGTCGTGTCATTTAAATGGTAATATTCTAAGGAAGTCTAAAAACTGTCAGGTGATAATACCGGCAGTAAATACAACTTTCAAGTGGAAAGCGTTTAAAACTCCAATTCTCCATTTATTTCAAAAATTCTCAAGTTCAAATGTATGTATAGGTCATATACAATATAATGAGGATTTGTTTGTACTTAAATCAGTTTGACTCCTTGTAGGCTTTTAGGGCTGAGGGGGGATTAAGTTTATTTTTGAAAAGAGTTTGCTTTAAATCATCCTGGAAATTTTCTCATAGAATTAGCATCTTGTCCATTTTCCCTTGGAGTGTTTTTTCATTGAGGTGGCAATCTGTGATGATATGTAGATTTCTACAGCACCCACGTGTAACAAATAGCAGGAATCGTACACTTCCTTTGCCCTTTCAGGCTTATCGAGTTTACAGGATGTTCTCAGAACTGACTCTAATTTTCAATTGAATTTTTGTGGATAAAAATAACTAAAACTGACATGAAGTTTCTGGTAAACCAGAAGAATAATGGAATGACAGGAAAATTAGCAATATTACTTCAGAATTCTGTCTATACCTTGATCTTTTCTTTCATTAGATATAGACATTTGATAAACAACTTTATGCAATATGGTTTCATGGATATTGGTTTATTAGGAAGTGAACTTCACTCGAAAATAAAATAGCATATAACATTATTATCCAGTTATTTTCATGTTAGTCTCACAATCTCTTATTCTGAATTTTTATTAGAAATACTTGTAAAGCATTCTTTGAATTGCTCTTTAATGAGTTTCCTGAAATGAGTATGTCTGGTCATTTTTTAAGGGTGGAGAATTTATCATTCTTAGCTATTCAACCATGTAATATTCCATAAATCTAAAAAAAAAAAACTGAGAAAGGCTCTGTAGAAAATGTCTCATTTCAAACACCTTCAAAAAACAAAGCTAATGTTGATTTATCATTCATTGAATGTCATTTTTCTCATAAAATTTAATCATCTCATTTGAGAACTTTTTTTAACTTCTATACATGTATTAGATGAGATTAAGAAATAACAAACTTTGGGCATGGGGGTAGCTCATTCAATTAATTAAGCATCAGGCTGATTTCAGCTCAGGTCATAATCTCACAGTTGGTGGTATTCGGCCCGGCATTTCTCTCTGGGTTGATGGCACAGAGCCTATATGGGATCCTCTCTCTTCCTCTCTGATCCCCCTCATGCTCTCTGTCTCTAAAATAAGTTTTTAAAAAAACTGTTTGAAAATCTTTAAAAAAATAAAGAAGTGGGGTGCCTGGGTGGCTTAGTTGGTTAAGCGTCCGACTTTCGCTTAGGTCATGATCTCACGGTTCGTGGGTTCGAGCCCTGCGACGGGCTCTGTGCTGACTGCCAGCTCAGAGCCTGGAGCCTGTTTCAGTCTGTGACTCCCTCTCTCTCTGACCCTCCCCTGCTCACGCTGTCTCTCTCTCTGTCTCCTAGAAATAAACATTAAAAAAAAATTAAAAAAAAATAAAGAAGTAACAAACAGACTTTACAAGTCATACTAAAAAATAGTTATTTTATAACCTTGGCTGGGGCAAAAGGATCATACAGTTGCCCATACCTTTTAAACACTCAGTTGTAAACCTGCTTAAGAGATAATCAGAGATCAGTAAACAGTATAATTAACACATAGGAGCTTGCTATGGGAACTACTTTGCTTCCACAAATGAATATTAAGAGCTGGAGCAGGGATACAGTTTAAAACTGATTTAAAAACCCTTGAGACTGAGGTGTTTTTAAAGAGAGACAATTTAAGAGTGATACTTTAGCTTACAGTCTTCACTGTTTAAACTCAAAGTTAAGAATGTGTGCATGAGTGTTAAGTGGTCAATAGCTTTGAATTAGTGTCTGTTACTAGATGCTAGGCAGGCCTTGTCTGCCCAAGTAGTTAAAGAGAAAAAAAATGCCTGAAAGTAGTAAATTCCCTTTACTAACCATTTAAGTCATTTTTTTCTATCTTAATAATAGTTTGGGATAGAATCTTATACATATTGATTCTATGTTTACATGAAAAGTTGTGTTTGTGAAAGCAATTGCACAATAATGAAACCAATCAACATAAAAGTTCTTAATTTCTGTTTAGGAGAATGATGGCTCCTCTAGCTAACTCAGATAACATTTTAGTTGGAATAATTTTAAATCCTGTTACAGACTCTGAGACCAATTATCAAAGTACCACTCAGATATTTAGCAGATAGAGTAGTTCACACTCTGCTCCAAGCATTTGCAAAACATATCTTGGAACAGGTATCACTTTGAACCTTTCCAATTTGACCCATAACTTTCTTTATTCCTTTACATTTATTAATTTGAAGTGCTTGGGTCAAATTCTAATTTCTACTTTTTCAAGAAAAGTGTATTCACTTTAAGAATTAAATGTCTGATGTATGAATTATTGGTTTAATCCTTAAAAAGCATTAAATCATTCTTTGGAAATACATAATGGCCATTCTTACAACACATGCAAAGAGAAATAATTAAGTCGATAATATGAATAATATTGACATATAGACCAGGTAATTAGGTCTCAGAGTGGATTTCGTTTGCCTGAATAACTGGTTTGTCAGCATACACTTAGACTCAACCCAATATCCAGATACCTAATGCCATAAGAAATTTTTGTGTTTAGGAAAAGGTATGAGAATAAAAACCCTAAAGTTTCTTTTTTTAATATTTTTTTAATTTCTAGGAGAGAAAGAGAGACAGCGTGAGCAGGGGAGGGTCAGAGAGAGAGGGAGACACAGGCTCTGAAATAGACTCCAGGCTCTAAGCTGGCAGTCAGCACAGAGCCCGACGCGGAGCTCGAACCCACGAACCGCGAGATCATGACCTAAGAGAAAGTCAGACGCTTAACCAACTAAGCCACCCAGGCGCCCAAAAACCCTAAAGTTTCACATGAGATTTAAAAACACTTATCCTTGGGCTATTACTATACAGAGATACAGATAATGAAGTACTCCCCACATAAAGTAAGCACATTGAAAAAAAATCTATGCATTTTGACCCAAATTATGTAAAACCACTGGCTTCTGAACATAGACTTATACCTATATCTCTTTCCCAGTTTATACTTATTCTAAGTTTTATCAATATTTTTATTTGTCTGGAGCTGAAATTAAAACATTTCCCTAGCTTTCATAATCATCTGTAAAAAGGAGCCATGTTATTATTCTGTATCCATTTCCAATACCATTTTGAGAGCACACTGAAACAAAAGGTTTCACATAAACCATATAAAAGGTTTCACAAAACCATAGTGATCATTTCTGACTTACCTATAATGTTATTATGAAATTGTTCCAGCTGGATGAAAAAAATGTGGTGAATATTAATACTACTAATATGAAAATTCTTTTAGTTTTAACATTTAGCCTAGTCCTATCATTAAAATTGTTAAAGGGAAGCAAATAGGTGGAAGAAAGATAGTAACATTCATGTATTTATATTAAAAGTGATAGAACTCCCACACTACAATAGTCAGAGTGTAGAAACAGATGATAAATTTGATTCTCTTGAGACTTTATAATACCTGAAATTTCTCTCTTAATACCCCTGATTCTATGATCTCAGGGAACTTAACAAAAATATCTTACACTACTTAATTTTTTTAGACAGTTGTGGGAAATGAGTATATACATGTTTAGTCCTACAAATTCCAGTTTCCATGTACATTTTCTATTCAAATGCTTTTATATATTGGGAACCAGATTCATCAAGATTTAGAAGAATATAACACAAGGACACCTTTTATTATTGTTGTTACTGTTTGGAATATATTCTGGAGTTTCAAAGGATCATACTGGGAAATCCAATATTGACTATAATGGAAGTTTTGCTATATGATTTCCTACTCAAAAAATGATTCTGCTGCATTGTCAAGGTGTCAAAATAATCTCAATTATCCAGCTGTTTCCAAACCAATACATTGTGTTACTTATGTAAACGTGTTTCCTTTAGTTTTCATTGATATGAGATATTTGTTGTCATATAGATATATCCAAACATGAGTCCAAGTCTCTAACCTTTCATATTTGTTCATGCCACCAGTCACCAGGTGGAAAAGCGGAAATGCAACACCGCCACATGCGCGACTCAACGCCTGGCAAATTTCTTAATTCGTTCCAGCAACAATCTTGGTGCCATTCTCTCTCCTACCAATGTGGGATCCAATACATATGGAAAGAGGAACACAGTTGAGATTTTAAACAAGGAACCATTGAATTACTTACCCCTTTAGAGATCAATGTACCTCTAGAATTATTCTTGTTTCATGTATAAATATTCTAATGATTTCCTGTGTATTTAAAATTAGCATAAACCTGAGTCTGTATGCCCCATGTTTGTTGCCAATACATATAAATTGTCATGGTAAGAATTCTTTTAAATTTAACACTAATTAAGATCCCATAATAAAAAGTCAATGTCTTTAAAAATGAAGTGTTCTTGTTGTAGATTTTATTCTTAAGACATTAAAATGTTTTTCTTCGGCTTATATCTTTATGGCTTGAGTTTGAGAACAAAGGAGAAAATGGTATTTGGAAACTTGGTAAATTGTAAACAGCTAAGACTCAGGTTAAAAACATTAAAATAACAGCAATCATAAAGACTGTTGTTAAGCAATTCATTTTTGTACTAGATTTCTGAAATGAGGTAAAATGTTATTTAAAATTTTTAATTAATTTTTGCTCTGGACTCAGTCAAAATGTTTTTTGAAATTATATTCTTTGCTGTACTTGCTGGTACTAGAGGTTATTTAAAAGTCTTAGAGAAATTTGTGTTCATGAGGGTTTCATTGTGTGTTATCATCGATGTGCTTTTATTAAACATATATGCCCTTTAGTCTGCTTAAGTAGTCTTTAGCAAACCTCAGTCACATTCTGATGCAGGGTATTACAAAAGCAACTGTGTTCCTATTAATCATCTTTTTAATTAAAAGACGACAGACTTCTGGGAACTAGTGTATGGTGACTTATTTTTTTGTTAAATTAATTGTACGTTTCTGGAAGAGGTTACAAATGTATGATACATTTTTTTAAAGGAAGCTGTTGAATTGGCCATAAACTGTAATGGTTCCTTCTAAGTCGCATTCTTATAGGAGTATCTGCTTTTCCCTGTGAGTTAGTTACCTTTGGAAGTAGCATTAACTGAGATAAACTGCAATCATGTTGTATTATGCCATTTCTAAAAGCACTCAACTTGTGTTTGAAAAAAATGGAAAAAAAATCATGTCAATCTCAGTGAGAACCTGACTCATTGACTTGATTTATACATTAATATTTCCCCTTATGAAGTATGCCTTAGATTACCATATTATAGTTGCTTGTGTGTGTACGTGTATAGAAACAGGAGATGATATTTATAATGATTTATGTCATAAGTTGCATTTTGAAATAAATAAGTGAGTGTATAAATTCCTATTTGTGATATTCAACACTCAGCCCTTATTTCAAAGTGGAGTTGAGCTCAACATTTTAAATTGAGAAAGGCATAGATTAAATTACAATTTCTTAAGCTTAGTTATTTAAAAATTTTCCAATAACAGTCTACTTTGAATAAAACTTTATTGCATATCACCTCTATAACAAAATTATGTGTAATTTTAGTAGCCTAACAACCTCTGGTGGTAAGGAGTAAAATGTAATTAGGGTAGCTATGTAACTTATTCCAAGTGGGAGATTTTGGGGAAGAAAAGAGGTTATTATATTGATACAAGAGATATTAACAATAGATGTTCATCTAAAATTTATTCATTAAATTTGTCAAAGTGAAACATTTGAACAAATTCAGTATTATTTTCTTAGTTGGCAGGCCAGTAGGGATCTAAATACATAAAACTTGGGAATGATTTATTGCATGCAGTTTACCAAATACTTTCCCTGCTTTTTTACAATTACCTTATGAAAATAGTAAGTAAAACTCATTTGATGTAATTGGTGATAGTAACAATAAGTTTTGGTGACAACATTTATCCCAACCTTTCTTGTTGTGTCTTCTCCTACTGACTCCATGAATAATAATATAAGCATTCTCTCACTATAACTCAGTCTTGACATCTTAGAATTATCACCAATTGCTCACAATCCTCACTCCACACATTCAAATCAGTTACCAGGACGTATGTATTTGAAAGCCCTCTTGCTACAAGTTACGTTTCTCCTTTCTTCTCCCATTGCTAATAATTTAACTTCAACCTCTTTACTGCAAGTCAGGACCCTACAGCAACCTGCAGATAGTTTTCTAATCTCCAGTATTTTCTGCCATTCTATACACCAATGCCTAAAGTACATTTCTTACATCAGTCTTCTATACAGAATTTTTGAAAAGCATGTTGTTAATCTACTAAAATCCATCAAATTCTTTAGCCTAACATTCAAGTCCCACCGTAAACTAACCCCAGTCTTCTTTTCCAGCTTTACTGCAGAGCATCTCACTTTATACATTTATTCCCTGTCAAATTCTGGTTGTTTTAGTTGTTCCTGTGTAACTGATATCATCACATAGCCTCTTCTTTTCCAGTGTCTATATCTTCCCTCCATTCCCTCAAGCTGTACAACTGTCCCCAGTGCAGCCTTTTGAAACATTTTAATAACAAAGTCAAGAATCTTTCATCATTCCCTCCCTGAATATGATTTCTCCACCCACTGAGCTGTGATGACAGTTTGAGGGTATCTTTTAGATTAAAAAAAGATACATTATTTAAGTATTATATTATTACTACTTTATTTGCATTAAAAATACTATATTGTTATGCCGTTGCTGTCTTATTTGTGTAACTGACACATTTCTCTTCAATATTGCTAGGTTCCTAAGGGCAGAAACTAGGACTTATTCTCCATTCCACAAATGTTCTGTTTTACAATCAAGGAACTTACGCCTATTTACACATTCTGGAGAATGGTAAGGTACTTGAGCAGTTTCCTTTTTTCTGTCCTTGATATTGTTCTGGCATAGAACTTAACAATTCTTGTCTTCTGAAAATGACTTGACATTCACTTTTGGTATGGAATATACCTTGCATAGACTAGAACATATTACTTATGGGTTTTTTTTTTTTTGCCTTGATTTGAATCACTAAACACTTAGGAAATGAAATCCATTGCCCAATAAAGTAAACATAGTATTACACAATTAAATATTTAAATTCCATAAAATATGGAAATAAAAATACTAAATTTTCATATTGAGTGAGATTCAGTAACTTCCATAGAAAATGGCTTTTCTGGTGGAGTGGGACAGGAGCCAAGTGGCCATGTTTCTCAACTTATTGTTTGAAAAATGCCCTTTCATTTGAAAAAGGATAAAATATGCTAGCATCCTTCCCTTTCCCCTTATTATTGATTTAGACTATAAACTGAATTCCTAAACAAAATTCAAATCTTTGCCTATTACTTAAACTTTGAAAATTATTTAAATTTTGATCACTTTTATGAGAATGTAGTGTATACTGGTCATTCCTATTCATGCGGCTCTTTAACCTACATCATAAGTATTTATGCTAGCTGAAAGATCTCTACATTGAAATAGTTATTTATAGTGAATAATGAGATATCAAAAAACATAGTGAGACATGGTCCTGTGATCTTTCCAAAAGAGGAAATTAAGACACAAATCACATTTAGGAATCCCTCCATATTGCTCAAGCCTTCCTTGATAATCAATCCTGAGAGTTACAGGCAATCAGGGAGAAATAGATTAAGTATTTGTGCCAAGATTTATCAATTTATATGCCAAACAGGAGCTAAAATTTTACATGTTAACAGCCAAATAATGTGTGTGTGTGTGTGTGTGTGTGTGTGTGTGTGTGTG